CTTTCAATTATATAGATTAGGTACCACCAATGCAAATAGTATCTTTAGAAGCTCTACTATGATGGTAATAACTATTTCATCAAATTATGAAATTATCAACCAAAATTATAAAATTATCAACCAATCCAGCCCTAGCAGATTACCTGTGGGGTTGGGTACTGGGGTTTGAACCCAGGGCTTCTTGCATCCTAGGGAAGTGCTCTACCATTGAGCTACTTTCCTAGCCCTTTTTATTTTATTTTGAGACAGGGTCTCCCTAAGTTGCCGAGTCTGGCCTGGAACTTGTAGTCCTCCTGCCTCAGCCTCCTGAGTTGTTGGGATTACAGGCATGTGCCAGAGTGCCCCATTAATTTTTGAAGAATTAATGTGGCATTAATCAATGAAATTTACTATTGAATAGAATAATTGTGATATATTCAGATTTTGGAGAGATAAAATGAACTAGAGTGTTTTAACAACCCTCACTAACCCTAGAGTGCAATTATGGTCTAACTCTTAACTGCCTTCTCAATCATCTCCCAAGATGCCAATGTCCGGAGGTACCTTCAGCTAACGCAGTCAGAACTCAGCAGCTACCATAGGAAAGAGAAGCAGCTGTACCTGGGCATGTTTGGTTAAAAAAGAAGAATGATGCTCTTCCACTTGAACTTAGGTGAACCATTAAAGACCCATCAAGGGGAAACCTGAGCCTGAGCAAGAGAAATTAACTGTATACAACTGTATACCTCAGGTGGATTTCTGTTTTGTTTACTATTCTGCACAAACTTTGTATTACTTAGACCATCTGTGTCTTTTTTTTTTTTTCCCTATCCATCTGTTTATTTACATGACTTTCAATATATGTTATTGTTGGCAATGTTTGCCTTGAAAAATAACCAGAAGGGCTGGGGATGTGGCTCAAGTGGTAGCGCGCTCGCCTGTCATGCGTGCGGCCCGGGTTCGATCCTCAGCACCACATACAAACAAAGATGTTGTGTCTGCCAATAACTAACTAAATAAATAAATATTTAAAAAAAAAATAACCAGAAAACATTCATCAGCTACAGGTGGAATTAATCATATTTCTAGCGTAGATTTAATGATAGATGTTGCTAGGTATATTCATATTCAGAGGAGAATGCTAACAGAGGATGAAATGGTAAGGATAAGCAGAAAGCAGTTTCTTCCTTTGTTTTCTTAGATACCCAAAGCCAAACAGGAAAATATATTTTTTGTGGAACTAGACAATTATAAATTGGATCCAAATGTATTTAAACGAAAGATTTGAAATTAATCATTTTTATTTAAATTAATTCCTTTTTCTCTTCATATTTCACGAACATTCAGATTCTTTCCCCCCCACAAAAATATATCTAGTTTCTCTTTTTCCCCTGGTAATTCTAGTTCTTGCTTTTGCTTGTACTCTTAAAAGTTTTGGAGTCATATATTTAAGTATTTATTTAATAACTCTTCAGCCCTTGTATCTCTCATTAAAAAAAAAAATGCCTGAGTAAATGTTTTAGTTTTTAATAGGTGCACATCTATAGTATGCTTGTTTCTCTAAAAAAACTTAGGCTATATTACCAAGTCTTCTAGAAACAATACCATGTAGAGCAGGATAAAAACTTTAATATCCTCTTTACCTGTCCTTGTATTTTGTAAGAGCACAGGTCCTTGTGGAGGAGGGCAACAATAAGGAAGAGCTGTGATTGCTTTTTGTCTTGAAAGCACCTGATGGAACTCTCTGGAAGCTGTTAGGCAGTGGTGCAGGTTGCAGATCTATGCTATTCTGGCTCAGTAGAATGCTCCATCAACTAGGAGCTCCTTTGTCATTCTATTTACTCATTGTGGATAATGTCTGCAATGATGTAGGTACTAAATAGTAGGTGAGATCATACATCACACACTCCACCTTTGTAAGGAGAAGTAATATGCATGTGTCATTATCCAGTATAGAACCATAAAACAAAACAGATTTCGGAAAAGAAAAAAACTAAACACCCTCGTCCCTTATCAACAACCCAGTGCATTAAACTCCTCTTTGTTCCTCTCTATACCTTTAAATAACTTGACCATCAGCTTACAGCAGAAGTTTTTCTACCAAATAATCATATGGAGTCCAAAGACAGAACTAAAAAATGTATAGGGTTACTGGTGAAATTTTGTCATGGTGAATCTTGTCAAGTCTGTTTAGCCAGGTTATCCTTGATGTTTCCTGTAGTAATTTTTCCACCCACTGATTCCTACCCTTTTCCTTGATTATAAATCCCTACTTGTTCTTGTTGGAGTTGAAATTAAGTCCAATCTCTTTCATCCCCCACTGGAAGACCTGGTTATAGTGGTTCCTATACCAATTGACATGACCCCATGAATACAGTATGCCTTACTATGCTTTGAATTTTTTTTTTTTTTAATTTTATCATGGTTGCATGTTTTGTTTGTTTGAGGTTTTGCTTTATGATGTTCTGTGGTATTTTAAATTTTTTTCAAAAACAATGTTACAGTAAGCTGTTTTCTGTATCAATGAGGAAAAAATAAAACTGGTATTTAAAAATGCATTTTAGAAATTTATTTCATTAATTTTCTTCTTAGCGCTACTAAGAGAGAGCACAGCGCTTAGGTTACATTTCAGGTTTTATTTCAGAGGCTTGCTCTCAAAGAAGATGTTAATGAACAGAAAAGTGGACAAAGGAATGCAGTCTGATTCAGGTCTTGAGGGGTTCTGACAAGCCTGCATCCTGATGGAATTGGCCAGGGGTCCCTAAATCTCTGTATTCAAAAGTTTGTGGAGGGGGAGGCTACTCTTTTTACCAAACCTTAATTGTTTCCACAGGATTTAATGATTTCGAATGAGGACACAAAGCATTCATGGTGATATGAAGGGTCATACTTAGGCACATGTAAGACAAAAAGAAACTTTGTTTCCCAAATTCAGAACCACCACCTTCACAGTTTGCCTGAACCCTGTACTACCTGTACTAACATGTAGTCACTACTTTATTTACGGACTGGTGTAGCTCAGTGATAGAGTGCCTAGCACATTCTAGACCCTGGGTTTGATTCCTAATACTGCTAAAAAATTTTTTAATATGTATTTTTATTTAAATTTTATATTTTTAGAGACAGGATCTCATTATGTTACCCAGGCTGGCCTGAAACTCTTGACTGATCCTCCTGCTTCAGCTTCCTGTGTAGCTGGGACTAAAGATGTGTACCACCGTGTCTGGCTTTAGAATTCACTTAGCAATGAAAATGTTAAGCCTTATCAACTTTCACTTCCCATATTGTCCTAGTGAAGAAGTTTCATTTGTTTTTCTTCAGGACTGGGCAATAAACCCAGGGCTGTGCATAAGCTAGAAAAGTGCTCTACCAATTGAGCTCCTTCCCCAACCCTTTTTATTTTATCTTGAGATGGGGTCTCTCTAAGTTACCCAGGCTGGCCTTGAACTTGGGATCCTCCTACTTCAGCCTGTGAGTACCTGAGAAGCAGTGAAGGGGCTTTCTATGGCCCAGTCTTTGCTTCTCAGCTCTCTTTACCATAATTCCAAAACAGTTTGCTAGGAAGAATTTATAATGCAGACTATGATATATGGACCCCAAAAGATAAAAGGGTTTTTTGTTATTGTTTTTTCACCTTTCCCTCCCATCCTGCTTTATTTGCACTCAGGTCCCTGAGGGAGACACCTAATCAGTTCTACTGATCAGTTTTTCCACCACCTGGTAGACCCTTTCTCCTACATTTCTAGAACTCTTTTTCCCCATCTGACATCAACACCCTAAATTCCCATTTCTTTGCTCCCTCCACTGACAATAGCAACCTATATGACTTTGGGTGACTATTAAAACCTCTCTAGGGTGCTGTTACCATGCTTTTGAAGTGAGGGAATGGGACCAGATCAACTGTAATATCCTCTCATGCAGAATGTCTTGCTTTAGCTATCCCAAGCAGCCACTATTTCTAACCTCAACAGGCCCTCAACCTCCCTCCACAATTCCACCATCATGAAACTTACTGTTTTCTGCCTTTCAATTTCTCATCTTTGGACACCTCGGTTCATATTTACAATATGTAGGCAGAATTTTCAAGTCTTTAACACAGTGTCTTTCATTGAAACAATCAACCAAAATTCTTTCTACACAGACAGCATAGGTGACAAGGGAACAAAACCAAACACTCAAAAGAACAAGAAAACAATTTCCAGTTCTTGGCTAACTATGTTCAACGATATTTTAGACCAGCATATCACGCATAGTGCCTGGAATCAAAAGCTGGTTCAAATCCTGATTTGTCCCTTAGCAATGTGACCTTGAACAAGTAAACTTGGGGCTTTTTGATTTTGGTACCTGGGATTGAATGCAGGGGTGCTTAACTACTGAGCCACATCTTCAGACCTTTTTTTATTTTATTTAGAGACAAGGTCTGAGTTGCTGAGGCTGGTCTCAACTTCCTGAGCCGTTGGGATTACTGGTGTGTGCCACCGCACCGGGCTAACTTGGGTTTTTTTGAGCCTCAAGTTTCCTCTGAAAAAAATAGGTGGCTAATACACCACAAAGTGAAGAAGTAAATGAGTTTTCTATTAAGTACCCAATACAGCCCAAAACACAAGAGCTCAACTACAATAATAAACCATAATTGTGTAAGATTCCCCAAGTTTACAATGCCCTCTGCTATCTCACTTTTTTCCTCATAAATGATCAGGCCCTCACTCCTTCCCCAAGTACAAATGTCAGCTAAAAACTGGACGAAAGGGGCTGGGTTGTGGCTCAGTGGTAGAGTACTCACTTAGCATGCATGAGGCACTGGGTTCGATCCTCTGCACCACATAAAAATAAAATAAAAAGGGGCTGGGGATATAGCTCACTTGGTATTGCTTGCCTAGCATGCACAGGGCCCTGGGTTCAATCCCTGGCTCCACAAATAAATAAATAGATAGATAAATAATAATAAAATAAAGTAAATGAAGAAGTGGATGAAAGACACAAAGCCATACAAGTTTGTGGAAGAAACAAGCCAACATCAATTCAAAGAGATAATTTCACTGCTAGTTTTATATTCCAGAATGTGGAATAAGAAGTGATTACACCTCAGGAAAATTCCCAGTGCCCTTGGGGAGAGCTGGCTGATCTGTTCTGGCCCATAAAGTCCTGCTTATCTGGCTGGATAAAGAAAACAGTAGGAACCTTCAGGCCAGGCAGAACCTTCATTTGTCACCCAGCAGGAGTGACAAGATGCTTCCAACCTCTGTGCTGCCATCTAACGATGTTAAGAGCAGGGCTAGCATCAGCTCATGCTCACCTAGATATTAGTTTTTGGAGCCAAGTACAAAATCTTTGGGTGGTCCACCACTGCTCTGTCTCTCTGCTGTTGGGGAACCAGGGAGGGGCTGCACCCCTAGAACAGAGCCAGCTTCTGGATCTGGTTTGCTACGTTTGGCCAGATCCTCATTGTGAGCCTTGCGGATGTGTCGGTAGAGGTCCCCTGACTGCGTGTAGCTGCGCAGACAGTAGCGGCACTCATAGGGTCGCTCACGTGTGTGCACGGTGGCATGTCGCCGCAGTGTATAAGAGCATGAGAAGGTCTTCCCACATGTCTTGCAAGTGGGAACATCCTCAGTAAAAACCCCAAAGTTTCCTGGGGCTGCTTCATACTCAGAAGGTGGGTAAAGTGGCTCATGTAGGGCTGGGGGTGCAGGCAGGGGTGAGGCCACCAGTCCTCGATGATATTGCCCTGGACCAGGCAGCAGATGGTAGGGTAGATGAGGGTCTGTAGGCAAGAAGTGGTCGCTTGGCCCATCCTCCAGTCCTGTTGCCCCTGGTTCCTCAAAAGCCTCTGGCTGGGAGGGCTGTCCTCCATACACTGGTCTTCCAGGTGGGAACAGTCCCTCAGGACCCTGAGTCTGTTCCTCTGCTACATCAGTCTCCTCATCAGAGATCACAATAGCTTCTACTTTCACCTGGACCAGCTCAGCTTCTGCTGGAGCTGGAGCCTGGGATGAAATTGGGGCTGAGACTGGGGCTGGAGCTGGAGCTGAAGCTGGAGGATAGAATCCTTGCAAAGGTCCTCCAGTATCCCTTGGTTCCACCACCCTCAGGCTCTCAGGACCCACATCAAGAGGAGTCAGGGGTTCCACTGAAACTGTTGGGAGGCCAGAAGAGAAGTAGTTTGCAGGAATGGTTTCTGTGGAGCTACTGGGACTGGCAAGAGAAACAGAGACATCAACTACTGGTGGTGGAGGTGCCCGCAGATGTGGTGAGTCAACCTCCATGCCAGGCTGTGTAGTGTCAGCCCCACCAGGCAATGGTGGTTCATCTGGAGGACGCACAGTAGGTAAAGGAGCAGTCAGGCTTTTCCATTCCTCTTTGCCCCAATGGCCTGATGTCTCAGGGGATGCCAACAAAGGCCGGGGGCCATGGGAAGTGCTGGACAAAAACTCCAAACTAGGGGGCTGTGAATTGGTTTCTTCCTCCTTCTTGGTACTGTCTGCCTCTGCCAGGGCCCGGGCTTGCAGCCTCTGCTTACACACTTTGACGATGTCATTCATATGCAAGTAGCTGGCAGCTGCCAACACATCCTCAAGAGGGGTATCTCCCCTCAGGGCCAGCTGGCCAGCATACATAAAGTCCAGAAGCAGCCCAAAAGCAGGGGCAGTGACAATCTCGTTGTGAATACACACCAGATCCCTCTTGTCCAATTCCCGCTCCTTGTAAAAAAGCTGAAAGAATGGGCTGCAGGAGGCCAGCACAGCCCGATGTGCCAAGAACTGGGTGCTACCCACCATCACGGTGCAGTCACAAAGGAAACCCTGGGACCGCTGCTCCCGGAGGCTCTGCAGCAGCTGTTGACTGTGTTCTGGGAACTCCATAGCACCCCACGAAAGGGAGGGCGCCCAAGTAAGGTCCCCACCAGTGGCTCCCTGGGAAGAGAGGACAGTGGGTTAGGGCAGGTAACTTCCCCAGCAGCCTTAAACGTCAGTCCTTAACTACCGCTCGCCACCCCAAGGCCTCTGGCAACACAGACCGCACCCCAAGACGCTCCCTTTAAGTTTCTACCCTTCTTTTTCCTACGTCACACCCAAAGATCTCCTACTAGCTCCGCCCCCTCAAACTAACCTTAGGATCAGGCCCCGCCTCCGGTCGAAAAAGGCCCTGCCCCCGGAAGTCCCGCCCCCTAGCCAGCCTTGGCTTCCTCGGTTCCCACCCGGTCGCTTCCAGCGGCTCCTCCAACTAGGAGTCTAGTTGCTCCCAGGCTTTCCCGAGCGATGCCTTTACGCTCCACTCCGAGAACTCCCTGAGCCTCTCCCTTTCGCTTTCCAGGTGCTAAGGACTCCTGGGGTGGGAACTAGCAGAGAAAGCTGATCCCTCACCACCAGCGAGCAGCCACCAGGCGAGCTCCGCCCCTTCCCACCTTCTCAGTGTTAATTGGTTCAAGCTCGCCTTCCCCCGTTGAGGATTGGCCAAATGTCCACTGTCCCACCCCTCTCCGGCCGGCGTGTCCAAGTGGGTGCTCGGATCCATCGCTCAGACAGATAGGAGCCCGATTGGTTATCACTCCTGTCTTGAGCTTTTCCTCTTCGTCCCGCCTTCTTTGCCTCAAAGCCGTTGGGATTGGCTGAGCTGCTCAGTCTACCGAGGCAGCGGGCGGGCTGGGACCCCTAAGGGCACTATATCAGCAACTACACCTTGTTGTGCGGGAGTGAACAGCACGTCACCTTACTATAGTGTGACCGGGAAAAGGAGGAATAAAAAACCAATGTGGTACTCTGGAGACCCGGGCCTTAGGCTTTGCAGAAACCATGGGCAAGAGTCACACACGCCTCTCTGACCGGCAGTTATCTCCTGAAGGTCCCTTGCTCAAATATTCCTTGATGTCCCCATCTGCTCCACTCCTCCAATCTAATGGTCTCAGGGCCTCTGGCTTAGTAATGGTGGTGTCAAGGATCTAGCAGCTGTCAGAATGTTGCGTCCTCAGCCTAGACTTTATGGGCAACTTCAAATGAAGAGGATAGACTGCCCTCTCTGTCCAGAGGTACTGGGCAGATGCTGATAGGAAAGCATTAGGGCTTTACAGTATCACCGTGTGCGTGGTGACACATGACTGTAATCCCAGCCACTCGAGGTTGAGGCTGGTGGGTCCCAAGTAGGCGACCAATCTGGGCAATTTAGCAAGACCCTGTCTCAAAAACAAACAAACAAACAAACAAAAAAAAAGGCCTGGGTTGTAGCTCAGCGTTAGAGCGCCCCTGGTTTCAATCCCCACCAGCGAAATAAATAAATAAAACAAACATATAAATAATAAATATCCCAGGATAGGAGATTTTTTAAAGTGTGGCTACTTCTAGGGCTGGGATTGTGGCTCAGTGGTATATCACCTGCCTAGCGCATTCGAGGCCCTAGGTTCCTTCCTCAGCACCACATATAAATAAATAAATAAATACAAAGGTATTGTGTACAACTAAAATAAATAAATATTTTTTTAAAAATGTGGCTACTTCTAGCAGGGCGCCCTGGTGCACGACTTTAATCCCAGTAAAGGATGGCAAATTCGAGGCCAGCCTGGGCAATTTAGCAAGATTCTGTCTCAAAATTAAAAAGGGCTGGGTACCAGGCACCATGGATACTACTGTAATCCCAGCGATTGAGGCTGAGGCAGCAGGATCTCAAGTTCCAAGGCCAGCCTTGGCAATTAAGCAAGACCTTGTCTAAAATTTTAAAAAAGGGGTGGTGGTGTGGCTAGGGATGTAGCTCACCAGCTGAGTGTCCATGAGTTTAATCCCCAATGCCATGGAAAATAAATTAAATTAAAACATGGCTACTTCTGAAGAAATCTCAGAATATTTCAGTTTCCAGACATGCAGAGGAACGGGCTATAAACTGTGAGTTGGTGTTTTCCTGGCTCCAGTCTGACTCCAGCAGCAATGTGGTTGACAGCATTTTCAGAGAAATATCTCAGTCCTCCCATCTCCTTCACCCACCACACCAAGCACTTCCATTTTGTTCTTGAATCAAACCTCCAAACAGACCCAACCAGAATTATAGAGAGTTTCTCTATCCAGCATTCTTGTGATAGATACAAGCATCTTAGCTTGAGATCACACCTCTACTCTACCCATTCTCACAAATCATATTTTAAAAAGTATTAATCCATTACAAAATGATGACAATAAGCCAATACTGGTGGGGTTTTTTTTTTTGGGGGGGGAGGGTGCTAGGGATTTGACCCAGGGCTTTGCTCATGCTAAGCACGTACTCTACTACTGAACTATAGGTGCCAAAGCCCTAATATTTTCATTTTTTGGTGAAAAATAACTTTATTTACCAAATAAAAAATCTGTAGTGAGAATAAGTGACATTGATTTGCATTTTTTCACATCTCTGTAATATCTAGGTTAATAGAAGAAAGCTAGATTTTCACATCTGTTTCTGCTTTCATCTATTATGATATATTGTTTGTTTTTGTTTTTGTTTGTTTTGGTACCAAGGATTCAACTCAGGGGCACTCAGCCACTGAGCCACATGCCCAGCTCTATTTTCTTTTATTTAGAGACTGAGTCTCATTGATTGGTTTACACCTCAATGAGAGGTGCTGAAGCTAGCTTTGAACTCCTGATCCTCCTGCCTCAGCCTCCCAAGCCTCTAGGATTATAGGTGGGTACCACCACACCCTGCTGATATATTGTTTTGATTTGAGTACATGAAGAAAATCTGATCTCACAGATATGTAACTGAAGAGGATCCCATCAATTTTTTGGAATTGTCTTTCAGGACTGACTCAGAAGTGGCACACCTATAATCTCAGTTAATTGGAAGGATGAGTCAGGAGGATCACAAATTGGAGGCAGACTGGGAAATTTAGCCAGACTGTCTCAAAATAAAAAAGAAGTGGCTGGTTTTGTGGCTCAGTGGTAGAGTGATTGCCTAGCACATCTGATTTTCAGCAACACATAAAAATAAATAAATAAATAAAATAAAGATTGGGGGGAAAAGAATGGTTTGTTTGTTTATCTATCACCTATCTATCTACTTACTTATTTATTTATGTGGTGCTGGGGATTGAACCCAGGGCCTTGTGCATGTGAGGCAAACAAACTCTACCAACTGAACTATGTCCCCAGCCCACAAGAATGCTTTAAAAAATTGTTTTTTTAAATAAAAAAAGGGCCAGGCACGATAGTACATGCCTGTAATCCCAGCGACTCAGGAGGCTGAAGCAGGTAGATATTGATTTCAAAGCCAGTCTCAGCAATGGCAAGGGGCTAAGCAACTCAGTGAGACCCTGGCTTAAATAAAATACAAATAGGGCTGGGGACGTGACTCAGTGATCAAGTGTCCCTGAGTTCAATCCCCAGTACCAAAAATAAAATTAAAAAATAATAGAAAAAGAGTTGAGGATGTAGCTCAGTAGTAAAGCACCCAGGGGCTCAATTCCCAGTACCCATCCATCCTCCCCAAAATAGAAAGTTTCTGTCCCAGACCACCCTTTGAAACCTGCTATCCTAAGTTCTCAGACACAGACTTTGAAGAGAAGGCCTTTTTTGGGGGGTAGGGGTGCAATACAAGGCATTGAACTCAGAGGCACTCAAACACATCCCCAGCCCTATTTTTTTAAAACATTTTTTCTCTTAGCTGTTCATAGATCTTTATTTTATTTAATTATAGGTGATGCTCAGAATCGAGCCCAATGCCTCACACATGGAAGCCAAGTGCACTACCACTGAGCCACAGTCCCAGCCCATCTCCAGCTCTATTTTATATTTTATTTAAAGACAGGGTCTCACTGAGTTTGTTTAGCGCCTTGCCATTGCTGAGGCTGGCTTTGAACTCATGATCCTCCTGCCTCAGCCTCCTGAGTGGATGGGATTACCTGGGATTACCGTCATGCGCTACTGCATCAGGCTTTTTTTTTTCTCTTACATACATGACAATAGTGGAATGCATTACAATCATAATTATGCATTCACAACACCATTTTTCATAACTTTTTTGTTTTTTAATATATATATTTAGTTGTCAATGGACATTAATTTTATTTATTTATTTATTTATATGTGGTGTTGAGAATCAAACCCAGTACCCCACATATGCCAGGCAAGTGCTCTACCATTGAGCCACAACCTCATCCCTCCCCAGGTCTTTTTTTTTTTTTAATTGTTTATTTTTTATTTTGAGACAAGTCCTCTTTAAATTGCTGAGGTTGGCCTTTAACTTGTGATCTACCTATCTCAGCCTCCCCAGTTGTTGTTATTACAGGCGTTTGCCACCACATCCAGCTACCAAGCTGCCTTGGTCTTTTTGGTGATCAGTCTCCACCCTGAAGCTACCCTAGGGGCCCCTAATCACCTTTCATCTCATTAGCATATAAAAGGTCAATCTTTACTCCAAAGATTCAAAGCATCTTAGAAGTCCAAATAAACCAAACTAATAAAAATGCTGCAGATTAGTGCTGATGAAGAAGACATTAGAACAACCAGAACTCTGACACATAAATTATATAATATACCACACAGATACAATAAATACAAATACCTCAAGAACAGTGATAATTGAATAGGGCAGTGTCAGTAAGCCTATCATATCAGCAACTCAGGAGGTTGAGGTAGGAGGTTTGCAATTTTGACACTAGTTGAGGCATTTGAAGACACTGTCTCAAAATTAATTTCATGGGTTGGGGTTGTGGCTGAGCAGTAGAGCCTCATCTAGCATAAATGAAGCCCTGGGTTTGATCCTCAGCACCATATAAAAATAAATAAATAAAATAAAGGTATTATGTACAACTACAACTAATTTTTTTTTTAAATTTAAAAACAAAACTATCTGGAGATGTATCTTAAAAGTAAAACCCTACTGGGTTTGATTTCTAGCACTACAAACAAACAAACACCAAAAGAAAAAACCCACACTTACAATAGTAAATAGGTAAAGTAACTAGGAAGTGATCAGTTTTGAGTATATATTTCCTTTCTCCCTCCCCACCCCCTTCTCCCCCCACCCCCCCTCCCTTCTTGGGACTGGGGAATGAACTCAGGGTGCTTTACCACTGAGCTACATTTCCAATGCTTTTTATTTTTATTATTTTTGGAGGCGGGTACCAGGGATAGAACTCAGGGGCACTCGACCACTGAGCCACATCCCCTGCCCTATTTGTATTTTTATTATTTGTATTTTTTATTTTAAGATAGATTCTCCCTACCTTGCTGAGTTACTCGCTAAATTGTCTAGGCTGGCCAAGCACTTGCCATCCTCCTGCCTCAGTCTTCTGAGTTAAGATAAAAGGCGCGCACTACCATGCCGGGCAAATGATTTACTTTTGAATAATGGCTGTGTTTAAAGAACAGCTTGCTTAATTCCTGAAATTTTAGGGATTGGTTATTGCTACCCAGTACTAGCCAGCTCCAGCACATTGAACGTCAGCAGATTAGGTCCTTGCAGGGAGGCTGGCCTGGAAAGGGGGAGAGGTGGGAGAAAGCGCAGAGTTGAGAGGGTACAGATAAGGGATTCTCAGTTCTGTAGCATCCCCCCACAACCCAGCCCCACTCTGGTGCGTGCGCCCGCGCGCCCCAGGAGTACAATAATAAGGTTTCCTCTCCAGGGAGCAAGTCATGTAGTGAGTGCTCAGTAAATGTTTGTTGAAGGAATGATTGAATGCATAAATATTCGGAATGCCTGAATTTGCAAGCGCCTTGAATTTGAATTCCAGTCCTGAGTGACTACAACCCTTGGGTGCATTAAAGTCTTTAATTATGTTATTTTCACTAATAAAGCTTATTAAAAGTGTTTACTGAGCATTTACGCATATGTAACAACGAATCCCACCATTATAATGCACCAATAAAAATATGGGGGGAAAAGTATTTACTGAGCATCTACTACAGGCTACTTTACAGGGATCTGAGTTTTGACAGCCCGCCGTGGGGCGGCGCTTCAGGGACAGAGCTTAACGAGTCCCCGCCCTCTACAGCGAGGTCCAATCAGATCGGCGCAGGGACCCGGAAGCGAGGTTGTGGTTGTAGCGTGCGCTTCCGGAGGAGACAGATAAGTTGTTGTCCCAGGTGTGGACGCCTCAGTCCAACTTCCTCAGCAAAGATGTTCTATCACGTGAGTAGGCGCCGGGTGGCGACGAGGGTTGGGTCTCGAGGTGCAGCGAGGCTGGGCGCCTCTTCTCGCCTCTTGCCCTCTCTGCTCCTGGCCGGGTCTCCATTCTCCTTTCACTGCAGATCTCCCTGGAGCACGAGATCCTGCTGCACCCGCGCTACTTCGGCCCCAACTTGCTCAATACCGTGAAGCAGAAGCTTTTCACCGAGGTGGAGGGAACCTGCACCGGAAAGTAAGTTTGCTCCCATCGCGCTGTAAGGTCTTTGCGCACACAGTGCCCCAAGCCAACAACTCTCTACCTAATTCCTACTCATCGTGTAAGGCCGTGCAACCCACTCTGGGAAGCCCTCTCACCCTCCCAGGCCCCAGGCAGCCAGTTGCTTCCTTCCCAAGGCGTCCTCTGCAAAGTTGGATAATGAGACTTCTCTCAGTCGAGATTGGACTTTTCCTTTAGTCTGCAAACACTTTAAAAGCTCCTGTTGTGTGTCAGGGCGTATGTTGGATCCTGCAAACATGCAATGAAAACAGAATTAGGCTAGTCCTCGTAGAGCTCAGAGTTTAATCATTGTTCCTGTGTGTGCTCTTCTGTGATTCTGCTGGGTTTCTCTATACCCTGTGCCCAGGGAACCTGGCATGGCACATCATGGGACTCAGTGTTGCCTGAATGAATGATCTGAAAAAGCACAACGAGAGTTTATGAGAAGGAATAGGGTTGAGACTTCTTTGAGTTTTGCACAGAAGGGTCTCCCACAGACCCTTATGAGTGGGCTGGGATTCAGTCCAGGATAGTAGAGTCTGGGCTTCCAGCATCAGAATATCAGAATAACCTAGGGCTGTTCCTTTTATGTTTAGTTTTGGGGGCTTTTTGGTATGGGGATTGAACCGCGGGGTGCTTAATCACTGAGCCACATCATTGGATCTTGTTTTTTTTTTTTTTTTTTTAATTTGGATACAGGGTCTCACTATGTTGTGGGAACTGGCTTTGAACTTGCAATCCACCCCGAGGGCGTCTTTAATTTGATTAGACTGGCCATGAACTTGTGATCCTCCTGCCTCAGGCTTCTGTGTGTCTGGGATTTCCACCATGCCTGGCAGGCTGTTCTTTTTAAAATTTTTAAAGATTTATTTTCTTAACAAGTTTGTTTTTCTTTTCTTGCTTTCTTTTTGCCATACTGGGGATTGATTCCAGCGGTCTTTTATCACTGAGCAACATAGCTGGGCAGTTTGTTTGTTTGTTTAGTACTGGGGATTAACTTGGGTGCTTAACTACTGAGTCACACCTAGACCTCTTTAAATTTTATTATATTATTATTATTATTTTGGTACCAGGGATTGAAACCAGAGCTCGGCTCTTAACACTGAGCAACATCCCCAGCCCTTTTCTGTATTTTATTTAGAGACATGGTCTCACTGAGTTGCTGAGGCTGGCTTTGAACCCATGCCTCAGCCTTCCAAGCTGCTGGGGATTATAGGCATTCACCACTGCACCCAGTTTCTGGGGCAGTTCTTGATCATGCTGGTTCTTGAGCTGCTTTTTTCCCTATAGAATCAGGACTGCCTGAGAGCCTTCAGGAGAATCTTCTTTTTTTTTTTTTTTTTTTTAACTTCTCAGTAAAATGAAGGGTCAAAAAAAGACACAGAGCTGGGCATGGTGGCACATACCTATAATCCCAGCTACTCTGGAAGCTGAGACAGGAGTATCATAAGTTCAAGGCCAGCCTTAGCAACTTAGTGAGACTCTCAAAATAAAAACCAGTATACTTTATTTTCTGATGTTTTATTTTGCACACCAGATAAGGAAAATGATGACCTGAAATATGTCGAGGACAGTAATTAAGGACTCTACAAAAATTTCCCCAGTTGTACAAGTATAGATACCTTGATTTAGAGTATTTTTCATAATAATTCCCGAGAATCTTCATATAAAAAGTTCCTCCCAGGTGATTCTGAGGCATAACAAAGATTGAGGTCCATTAACTCAGTACGGCTTTCTTCTTGGACATTTGTTGTAAAATTTTGAAAGCAGCATTTGAGCTGACAAATATTTATCTGTATCCTTTCTCTTGGCCATTAAACTCTGAGGGTCAGAGGTGACAACTTTCCCCCTCCTCCCCTCAGGCTCAGTGACTGTTGCTGCAGATGGCTTTAGAGGCTCTTGTAATACAGTGCCTTTCTCTTTTTGTCTTCCTTGTAGGTATGGCTTTGTAATTGCTGTCACCACCATCGACAACATTGGTGCTGGTGTAATCCAGCCAGGCCGGGGCTTTGTTCTTTATCCAGTTAAGTACAAGGCCATCGTTTTCCGGCCTTTTAAAGGCGAGGTTGTGGATGCTGTGGTCACTCAGGTCAATAAGGTAAGAACACTCATAGGAGGCCATGGTGTGGGTCCTCAGGAATTCTAAGATGCGTCCTCATTCCACTTACTAACTCTATACCTTAGTCAAGTCACACTTCTTTGTACCTGTCAAAATACTCAAGGGCATGTGAGTCAATGTGAATAATTACAACAGGAGCCTACATTGACTGAGTAGTTACTGTGGACCAAGTATTGTTCAAAGCCCCACAGTGACTGTGTTTCTATCTCTGTTTACAGACACTGAAGCTTAGAGAAATGTACTGGCCAAGACTCTGTGGCCAACAAGGGTTTATATCTTGGGCTAATAAGTCCTAGGTTTAAATTCTTTACAATTACACTATATTTGCTTAATTTAAATGAAAGGTGGTTCTGGGCCTTTCATTTCATTACAGGCCTGTAATCTAGCAATTTAGGAGGTTCAGGTAGGAAGATAGCAAGTTTGAGGTCAACCTCAGCAACTTAGTGAGACAGGGTGGTATAGGGGATGTAGTTCACTGGTACAGTATTTGTCTAGCATACATGAGGCCCTGGGTTTAATCCCCCACATGGGAGGGGAGAAAAACAGTAAAATGAAGGGTCAAAAAAAGACACAGAGCTGGGCATGGTGGCACATACCTATAATCCCAGCTACTCTGGAAGCTGAGACAGGAGTATCATAAGTTCAAGGCCAGCCTTAGTAACTTAGTGAGATTCTCAAAACAAGGGGATATAGCTTCGTGGTAAAGTGCCTGTGGGTTCAATACCGGAATCAATTAAAAAAAAAAAAAAAAGCAAGTGTTGCAGTTCAGACTGGATACAGATAAAAATGGTGGTCTTGTCAGAGCAATTTTAGAGGAGGAAAAGTTTATTTGGCCCTTGTGGTTTTAGAGGTCTCAGTCCACAGACAGCCACCTCTGTTGCTCTGGGCCTGGATAAAGCAGAACACAATGGCAGAAGGGAGTGGAGGAGGAAAGCAGTTCAGGAGAATGCAATCCGGAAGCTGAGTTCCACTCAACAGGGAAAATATAGAAGCCCCCAAAGCACATTCCCAGTAGCCTACCTCCTTCAGCCACATCCTATCTGCCTACAGTTACCACCCTGTTCATCCATTCAAGTGGAATAACATACTGATTAGGTTAAAGCTTACAGCCCAATCATTGCACCTAATGATTGTCTAATGTGAGCTTTTGGGGACATCCTAAAACTTAAGGATTTGAGAGAAAAAAGGAAAGAATGATTATTCATTTTCCTCCTAGGTTGGACTCTTCACAGAAATTGGGCCCATGTCTTGCTTCATTTCTCGACATGTAAGTCTAGACACGTTGGGCGGGGCTAAGGAAGAGACACCCAATCATGACCATCTACTGAAACATTCAGTGCAGCTGGGTGTGGTGGCATGTGCCTGTAATCCCAGGGACTCAGGAGGCTGAGATAGGAGGATTGCAAATTTGAGGTCAGCCTCAGCAACTTAGTAAGAGCCTGTCTCAAAATAAAAAGGCCTTGGGAAGTAGCTCAGTGGTAAAGCTTCCCTGGGTTTAATCCCCAAGAGTTAAAAAAAAAAAAAAAATGCTGACCCGGCCTGGCTCTGTAGTATGCGTATGTAATCCCAGCTACTAGGGAGGCTGAGTCAGGATGGCAATTTGAAGCCAGCCTGGGCAATTTAGCAAGACCCTATGTCAAAAAGCAGTGGCTGAGGTGGGGGGAGGGGATATGATTGTCTATTCACAGGCTGGGGGTATAGCTTAGTGGTAGAGCACTTGTCTAGCATATGTGAGGCCTTGGATTTGATCCCCAGCACCATAAAAATAAATAAGCAAAGTGCTGACAAGTATCACTTTTCCTTTCAGTCCATCCCATCAGAGATGGAATTTGATCCTAATTCTAACCCACCATGTTACAAGACAATGGATGAGGTGAGTGGGTAGGAGGAAGGAAGAGGGGGGGAATAGGCCAGGCTGAGGGAAGAGGATTGCCCTGGGAATGTCTGAGTACACTGTTGTCTCCTCTTCTTAGGACATTGTGATTCAGCAGGAGGATGACATCCGCTTGAAGATTGTGGGGACCCGCGTGGACAAGAATGACATTGTGAGTCTCTTGCCTACCATAGCCATACCAGGCAGAACTGAATGCTGTGGACTTCTTTACCACCCACAGTTCTGGGGGAGGGGGTGGGGTTCTGTGGTGTTCTGGGTGGCAGAAGACCTGGGGCTTGTGGGGTAGAGGAGGTTCTGCTCTTGCCTTGTCCTGGTTTCATGTTTATTTTCTTTCCTACAGTTTGCCATTGGCTCCCTGATGGATGATTACTTGGGTGAGTGCCTGATTTGTGGTGACAGGGCTGTTTCCTGGAGATTGGGTGTGTAGGAGAGGGAAGTGGGTGTAGGATTTAATGCCTGGGACAGAGACATTAGAAATTTTTATTCTGTCTGCTTGGAAGATCTAGGACCTGTGCCCTTGGAATGGGAAGTAGGTGGTTGTGGCTGCCCCTGAGCTCTGGGTGTAACTGATGTACCTTTCCTGTTTTCACAGGGCTTGTGAGCTGAGCATGGGAGCCTCCTACCATGTGTGATCTTGATCTACAAAACGTTGCTTTAATAGTTGCCGAGTTGTCTAGAGACTCCCTCTGGCTATTGTTGGGGGAAGCAAGGAAGGTTCTTTGTCCCTGAAGACATCTGGTGCTTCTTCCAGTTTAGCTGTTGCTTGACTCTGTGTTCTAACTATAAAAGGTCATTGGTTCTCATGCAAGTGTCATGTTCTTTTTTTGGTTTTGTTTTATTTTATTTTTTGGTGCTGAGAATTGAACCCAGGGCCCTGTACATGCAAGGCAAACACTCTACCAATTGAGCTATATTCCCAGCTCTCATATTCTTTTTTGGCTAGGAGCAACACTCTTTAAAAAGGTCATTAGCCAGTTACTCACTAGACCTTTTCCTTGGCCTGATGTTGCAACTGTCCTTGGCCACACAGGGGATTTAACAAACCCTTTTGCTAAGGCCTGAAGTTAACCTCATTGTAGGCAAACTGATATTGGATCATTGACTTTCTGTAAATGAAAACCATCATCACAGCCATTCTGAGTCCTAATCTAGTATCAGAGTGTTTGCCTTTCCCATGACCTTAAACAGGTCCAAGAGTATAAGAGGGAATGGGGGGAAGAAACAACAGATAAGGAGAAATGAATCAGAGAAGAGTAATAGCGCAGATTACAGAGTCCCAACACATCCCTTTTATTTTTTGTGGTACTGGGGAATTGTTTTTTTTTTTTAAAGAGAGAGGGGGAGAGAGAGAATTTTTTTAGTATTTATTCTTTAGATTTCGGCGGACACAACATCTTTGTTTGTATGTGGTTCTGAGGATCGAACCTGGGCCGCACGCATGCCAGGCGAGTGGGCTACCGCTTGAGCCACATCCCCAGCCCGGTACTGGGGAATTGAAATGGGAACTGTACCACTGATCTATATCACCAGCCCTTTTATTTATTTATTTTTATTAAATATTTTAGTTGTTGATGGAACTATTATTTATTTATATGCAATGCTGAGACTCGAACCCAGTGCTTCACACATGCTATGCAAAAGCGTTTATAATCAGGGTCACAAAAAATACATGAAATGCCTACAAGATTAAACAAACATGATGGGCTGTGGTTGTGGCTCAGTGGTAGAGCACTTGCCCAGCATATGTGAGGACTTGGGTTTGATCCTCAGCACCACATAAAAATTAATTAATTAATTAAAGGTATTGTGTCCATCTACAATTTAAAACAAACCACAAGATTATTTCTCCACGTTGAAGTGCCCTTTTCCAGCTTGCCTATTTGCTTCTGACTAATCTGTCAAATCTGGGTTCAGTTATGCCCCCGTTAAGTTTCATGCCTGAGTCAGACATGAGAAACTGTAATTCTGTCAGGAAGACATAGGCCATGTCCCTTTGAATGGGAAGTATATGGTTGTGGCTCCCCCCCATAATTTTATTGTATGGTTTATATAATGCACCTGAGCTGGTGGCTGCCACTGGCTGTCCAGACCAATAAACCTCAGGTGATCCACCAGCCGCCCAAATGAGGCTGAGCTGACAATCAAATTCAGACCTTCAGGAGGGAGGGCCTCCTTTCTCCTTCCTTTCACAGAGGAGGACAGACACTCAGCATTGAAGAAGGAAACCACTCCAATGTTACTTTGAATATAACTGGAAGAGACTAAGTGGAGTCAGTCTCCTCAGATGGGGTTGCTATAGCAACCCTAGTTACATCCATCAGGTTTTCACAGCACCAAGTCCCAGAGGATTTTCTTTTCTAGACGAGCATCTAGCCCTGAGAAAGAGGAAGGGTGAGGAGGCTATATACACACATATTCCCCTGCAGAAAGTGCCCTTCTAGAACTAAAATAATAAAAGAGCTGGAAGTGTAGCTCAGTGGTAGAATGCCCTGGGTTCAATCCTATACACTACAAATAATTTTTAAATAAATAATAAAGATGAAAAACGAATTAAGCCAGGTTTGGTGTTACAGTCTTTTAATCTAAGCGACTCCAGAGGCCAGCCTCAGTAATTTATCAAGACCCTGTCTCAAAAAAATAGGAAGGAATGTGGGTTAGCTCAGTGGTAGAGTGCCCCTGGTTCAAACTGCAGTGTGTGGAGGGGAGGGGTAGGGAGAAAAGCCCCCTGCAAACTACCCCATCTTGGGGGAACTTAGTAGAGCAATTCACTATCTCCCTTGTGATGTGTTAATGGCAGTTCAATCCCCCCTCTCGCCAGGTGCTTTCACAGACATTATTTAATCTACAACAAACTTATGAGGCGGGCATTGCTACCTCAGTTTGTATATGCGGGAAAACATGGTTAGGTAACTTTCCCCAAGGCGTGTCAGAAATTGAAACTCAAGTCGGTGATCCCAAATACCGTCCTTTATTCAGTAAGCCCACTGTTTATCAGTTGAGAACTGAGTGGCTTTAGTCATAATGGGAGGTCAGAAAAGGGAGTTATAAGGGTTGTATGGTTCTGTAAATTGGTCAAGAAGTATGGAGGCAGGTGAGGACTTATATTTGGCTCACTGGACATAATTCAAAGCTTGCACCAGTGTTTGGCCCTGTCAAAAGTTTCTTGTGTCCGCAGGGAACAGCTGCCAGAAGCCCCACTTACCTTTCAGGAAGCGGAAGAGGCAGGTTAGGTGATGTTGGAGAGGGAGGTTGAGCAGGAAAATTAAGCCAGACACCAAAGTCTGAAGCTTTTTCCTATAGTCGCGAAATTGAAAGTGGTCGTAAACTGGGGAGCAGACAAAAATCAAGGGAATGGAAATGCTTTTCCACAAGAATTTTTTTGTTTTTTGGTACTGGGGATTGGACCCAGTCCAATGTATTTCAGTCCTACCACTGAACTACATCCCTACACCTCTATTTTTTGTTTTGAGACAGGGGCTCACCAAGCTGCTGAGGTTCGCTTCAGTCTTGCACTTGCGGTCTTCCTGCCTCAGCCTCCTGAGTAGCTGGGATTAGAGGACATGTTTATTCAATGCATGCCAAACCATACACACCTGCTTCGCAAACTAGCGAGAGCTGTTGCTTTAAGAAGCTGGAGCCTTCAGCATCACGTGATTTCCGGAGCCCAGCGTCCGCGCCTCGCTTCCTCACAGGCTAATCACGTGGCGGGAAGGCTCCCCGAGGGCGGGAACTTCTCCAGACGGCCGGCGATTGGCTGGGCTCGTGGAGGGTGGTGCCGGGGCGCGGAGAGAGGGAATTAGTGCGAGCGGGGTGAGTGGGAGCTGCCTCCACAGCCCACGCCTCGGTAGCTGCCCTCGCCAAGCGAAGCCCTCAGGTGAGCTGGCCTGGCCGAGTCCAAGGGCTCCCCGTCGCTCCGCAGGCTGCTCCCTTCAGGTGCTGGGGCCCGCCCACTTCCCTGTACACGTGATCCAAGTTCGTGAACCTTGACCTCCTACCCCACCCCAAGCCCTCAGTGCCTGGGGTGAGCCGGACTGGGTGGGAGGACGGATATCGGCTGGAACGTGGAGGTCAGTGTCCCCGCCTCCTTCCAGAGTGGCTGGGGATGGGCAGGAGAGGAGGCTGAGGAGCGAAAGACCTTGGTCACAGGCCAGATCTTACGGGGTCCCAATAGGGACCTATAATAGGGAAACGCCGGCAAGGCAAGACTTAGTGCTCCCATTTTACAGATGTGGAAACTGATTGGAGGATCGAGGGTCGCCGAGTGGTGGGTCTCCAACACCAGTTTCTTTGGGTTGCGAATCTAGGTTTTCTTCCCCACACAAGCTGGCAGCATCTGAGTGCAGTGTTGTGGAATGATTAGGAAAAGGGGTGTGAATCCTTGCTACCTACTAGCTAGCGCTCACTGGATCATCTTGGGAAAGCCCTGTAACGTTAAGCTCTCTCAGGTTTGATCACCTTGGCTGTGAGATAACAACATATATAACATGTATATCATTGTCAAGAAGGATCCAATAAGGTAATCCGGACATAGTGTTTACTCAGTGCTTCAGGCAATTTATGTGCTTAGTAAAATAGCCATTCTTTCTTCCTTCTTTCAGCAAGTGTTTATTGAAGGCCTAGTATGTGGTGACATTGCTGGATACTTGGGATGCAAAGGTGAGCAAACAGACATGGTCCTGGCTGCCATGGAGCTTACATAGTTTAGTGGGTAGGTAGGTGTTAATTAAAAAGTCACACAAATGTCTACAAACTTTTTTTGGAAGGGGGGGTGCCTGGATTGAACTCAGGGTGCGTAACCACTGAGCCATGTCCCCAGCCTTTTTTTTTTTTTTTTAATATCTTTATTTTGTTTATTTTTATGTAGTGCTAAGGATCGAACCTAGTGCCTCACTTGTGCCAGGCAAGTAAGTGCTCTGCCAATGAGATGAACCACAGCCCCAGCCCGGTCCCAAGCCCTTTTTATTTTTAAGTTAGAGACAGGGTTTGAGATTACAGGCATGAGCTACCATACCTGGCTTCTACAAACTTTTATAACTGTCTTGAAGACAGAGTACAGGAACATGTAGAGAATTTGGGAAAACTTCCTGGAGAAAGTAACATTTGAACTGAGATCTAAAGGAATGAGTAGGAGTTCACTAGACAAAGAGGTCAGGGTGGAAGACGAGGAGACTTCAAAGCAGAATAACATTCAAAGGTCCTGAAATAAAATGTTTTGAGGAAGTAAAAGGGGGACATGGGTGGGAATGAAGAATACAAAAGAGAAAACTTGAATAAGTGTAGGCAGGTAAATGCAGACTCTGGGGCATGGGCCAGATATTTTCTTTATTTCTTTTTTTTTTTTTTTTTTTAAATATTTATTTACTTTATTTTTCCGGCAGACACAACATCTTTGTGGTGCTGAGGGTCGAACCCGGGCCGCACGCATGCCAGGCGAGCGCGCTACCGCTTGAGCTACATCCCCAGCCCTATTTTCTTTATTTCAAAAGCAATTGAGAGCCATCGAGAAGAGAGCTGTAGAAGCCAAGTAGGAAGCTCATTGCACTTAGGGATAAAGAACAAGAGTCTTGGGGCTGGGGTTGTGGTTCAGTGGTAGAGCACTTGCCTAGTATGTGTGAGGCACTGGGTTCGATTCTCAGCACCACATGTAAATAAATAAAGGTAAATCAACAACAACAAAAAAATAAAAATATAAAAAGAGAACCAGAGAGTAGTGGGAGCAGTGTCTGGGTGGGTCACCTTGGAACCAGGCTTTGCTGCCTGAGGTACTGTTGTCTCACTTTGAATTGTGTGTGCATCTACCTTCCAGCTGCAGTGTGCATTGTTGGAGTGAGCCGTCATGTCTGTTTTTGTTAGGTTCTTATTCTGCCATATCCTGTGAACACAACAGGTTCCTGCATCTAGGCCTTGCAGCCAAAATGGGGAAGACCAGACACATGGGCAAAAAGCCAAACTTCTAAAAGCCTGGCTGGCCCAGATGTCATATGGTACCGAAGATCCCAGAGACTGGGTTTGTCTTACCAAGAGGAGAGGGAGGGAAGTCAGTCTGAGCAAAAGCCTGGTAGAAGGGCCTGAGGCAAGGTGGGAAGACACTAGCCTGGTTTACTAGAGGAGGGATCAGTGTGAACAGATGTGGGAATTTGGGACCAAAAGTAATATGTCAAACCAGGAAGTTTGGTCTTTTTTCATAAGCAATGGAGGAACATTAGACATATATTTTAGTAATGCAGTGTGAGGATTAAAGTCTTTTCATAAAAATTTAGTTGATGGTGGGTGTAGTAAGAATGAAAAGAGGACATGAAATTTTTGTTTGTAGTTAATAATGATGACATTGTTCATTGGTGTAGTGTTCCCTTTGTGGTGGTGGTTCTTTTGTGTGTTTGTGTGTAGGGGTGTGTGTGTGTATGGGGTGTGTGTGTGTGTGTGTGTGTAGGGGTGGAAACCAGGGCCTTTTGCATGCTAAGCAGGCATTCTACCACTAAATTACACCTGCAGCCCTGGAGTTGTGTTCTAGTTCCTGATTTTCTCAGATATCATCTCATTTTATCTTTACAGTAAGTTAGGGCACAGTAAGTTAGGGCAGAGATTATTGCCCCTATTTGGAATACAGTGCTTGGACTGATGAAGGTCCTAGCCAGGTTCACATAGTAAATGGCAGAGCACAATTCTGTGGACCCAAAGGGCAGGCATTTTCCCTAGCTTCCCTATTGTCTGCTCACTGACCTGCCTATTTTCTTCCCTAAAACTCATTTTCCTCATCTGGGTATTCTGAGCTCCCTCTTCAGGGATTGTGGTGCAAGAGCAGCAAGACTGGTTGAGAGGTCTTGACTTGTCCTCCTAGATTCTCAGGCATACTGGGGGCAGCGTTTAAAATCTTCCGACTTTACTCCCAGCTCCACTGGGGCCATGTCAGAGCGAGAAGAGCGGCGATTTGTGGAGATCCCTCGGGAGTCAGTCCGCCTCATGGCAGAGAGTACAGGACTGGAGTTGAGTGACGAAGTGGCAGCCCTTCTCGCTGAGGATGTGTGCTACCGTCTCAGAGAAGCCACACAGGTGCCTCCTTCAGTACCCAATCCCCTGCTGTCCTTGTTCCTTTCCTCACCTGTTCCTACTCTGATTTACTTAGCACGTGCATGTTGGGCACCTCCCTGTGCTTTGAGGCTCTGAGATAGTCCTTGCCCTTGTCAGAGCTTGCATCTAGCCAGCCAGGCTGCCAGCATATGAAATGCTCATCAGGCATTTTCTAGTACTTCTCATAACAGCCCCACAGGCAGAGTGGCTATGCTGTCACATTCTGCGTGTGAGATGTGACACCAGATGGATTGTTGTGTAGGAATTGGGCTGGAATGCAGACTCTGATCACTGGTGTGATGTCTCCTTTGCCTCTTCCCCAGTGTAGTCCATTTCGCTTGGGGGTTTCCACACCGGCTCCTCCCTGTCTCCTGACTCTGGCTTCTGTTTCTGCCCTCCCAGAACAGCTCTCAGTTCATGAAGCACACGAAACGGAGGAAGCTGACTGTTGAGGATTTCAACAGGGCCCTCAGGTGGAGCAGTGTGGAGGTGAGAGGGGTGCAGGCTACAGAGGGCTCATGTAGCATGAGCATGAACTCACCTCCGTGTTCAGCTCAGGGTTAATGATATGATGAGACATGAAGACCAAACACGGCCACAACAGGACAAATGCCAGGTGCTGGGTCCAGACCATAGTAGTATGAGTTCTGAACAGAGTAGAGAGGAGGTCACTGGGGACCTCGAGGGTAGGGAAGGCTTCTTGGAAGAGATGGGACATGAACTAAGCCTTATGGAGGGCAAAGAACTTGAACCTAGTTTAATGTAATCCTGAAGAAAAACAGGCATGCTGGGTAAAGGAGGAACTGAGCATTTGTGTGGTGTTAGCATGTTTTTGTATATTGTTCTGGGGCATGGTGTTGAGAGATTAGTGTGACTAGGAGAGAGTAGTGAGTGTTCAGAGTTGGGTAAGTGCAAATGAGAGGGCCAGGAGTTTAGGGGTGGGGCTCAAAACCTCTACCGTTCTGTGAGGAGGGGACTTATTTACCCCTTGACCCAGCAAGCCATGGATGCTCCAGCCAAATTCCTAGCAGTGGCTCTGAGCCCCAGATTTCCTCTGCTTCTCTTGGGAACCTCTAGACTTCTCTCAGACATAGGTTCCCTGTCTTTAGCTGTAGTGCCCCTTCATGGTACCTGTTTCCTCCCTAGATTCAGGCTGCTCTCTAATCCCCTTTCCTTAGGCTGTGTGTGGTTATGGGTCTCAGGAGGCACTGCCTCTGCGCCCTGCCAGGGAGGGTGAACTCTACTTTCCTGAGGACCGAGAGGTGAACCTGGTGGAGCTGGCCCTGGCTACCAACATCCCCAAAGGCTGTGCTGAGACAGCTGTCAGAGGTGGCTGCTGGGGTCCTGCATGGGGTGGGGACAGCAGGTGGGTGGTCAGCAGTGGTGTTGGACTGACTGGTGAATGGGGTAGAATTTGGAGATGTAGGTGTTGTGATGAGGGGGAAAATCCCAGCCTGACATCTCTCTCTGACCTGGTTCTAGTTCATGTTTCCTACCTGGACGGCAAAGGGAACCTGGCACCTCAAGGATCAGGTAAGGTATAAAAACTTTCTTCTCTTAGATGCTGAGGGTAGGGCCTCTGTGCCTCTGTCTGCG